AGCCTAGAGGAGATCTGGTGTAATATATATATAGTATATATATATATATATATTTATAAATATAAATATATATATATATATTTATTTATATATATGTATATGTATATGTATATATGCTTCAATATACCTATGAGTGGGTAAGGGGAAGGGGTAAGGGTTAGGGTTTAGGGTTTAGGGTTTAGGGTTTAGGGTTTAGGGTTTAGGGTTTGCAGCAGTGAGTGTACGCACAGATCTGGGCTTGGGTGTTCTGGAGTCGTAGACAAAATTATGAAACCCTAAACCCTAAACCCTAAAACTCTTTACATCAGTGTATGAGTAATTATTAATTACTTTCTTCTTCTTTTTTGTGTATACACACAAATGCTGATGCAGCTGCCGATACACCCCAACAACTTAAACTGCATAATAAAGACGAAATAATAATTCAAAGGTTTTAAGTGCATCCACTTTTTATTATAGCCACACTCTCTACGGTTTAGGGTTTAGGGTTTAGGGTGTATTGTCTACGACTTAGGTAGGGTTTGGCGTGTATTCGCTAGGCTTTAAGGGTTTAGATTTTAGGGTTTAGGGTTTAGGGTTTAGCAGATGCAGGTGGAGGTAAAACAGAGGTGAATAAAGAAAGAAAACGATAATGAAGAATTAACTCTGCTGTTTTTTGGAGTGTATAGGCAGCTTCAATTTGCATGCTGAGATCGCTGTTTTATTTATTTGTTTTATTTGTTTCTTATTTTATTTTCTTTTGTAGTAAAAACAGTAGGGGCGTTTAGTTTAAGTTGAGGGAGCCTTTGTATACAAAATATAAAATAAATATATAAATAAAATGTATATAACATAAATAATATAAAATAAATGAAGAGAGATAAGAAAGAAAAAATAAACAAACTCTTCTTCTTTTCCTGTGCTGTATAGACACACCGAAACTATAACCCTTCAATGAGCTACTGCTGCTGCTGTTGTTGCTGCTGCTGCTGTTGTTGCTGCTGCTGTTGCTGCTGCTGCTGCTGTTGCTGCTGCTGTTACTGCTGCTGCTGCTGTGCTGGGTGATTGATCGGCTGGTTGATGATTTGTTTGGAGGTGAAAAAAGACAAAGAAGAATAAAGAGTTGAATTAACTTTGTTTAATTTTCTGGATTTAGAGAAGTTTACTAATGAGGAACAAAATAAGAAGAGAGCTTTTCTTCTTGCTTCGCATCAAAGGGAGAAAACATTAAACAATTTATTTTAAACACTCTGTACATATATACATAAATGCATGCATGCATGGATACAGCATAAAGAAGCATATTAAACGGAAGGCAACAATTGTTTTGAAGAAAGCAGCTGCGATATAAATTTAAGTCTAGCGAAACAACCCCACTGCTTTTAACTCTTGATGTCTGGGCCACTCTAGACGAAAGCAGTCACTGTTAATAGATATTTTAGAGTGTATGAGGAGTAGAAAGAGGAAGTAAATGAGGAAAACTTCATGAGAGTTATCATCAACTTAAAATAATGAAAGAAAATGCAGCTTTATTCTAAAATATCTGTGCAGTGTATGAGCGGAAACGGTTCCCAGAGCCCTTCCTTGCTAAAGTAAGGGGGTAATGTTTGTATTTTTGGAGAGTAGAATAAAGCATTTTTGAGGTAATACTAAATAAATAAAGTTATTTCAAAAGAATTATTCAAATTCTCTCTATATGCAAAACGCTGCACGTACACTCTGCTCAGCAGTGACGGTGAAGCCAACCTCTGGCTTGCTTCTGTTAGAGTAAAAGTATATGTTTGATAAGGAAGTTTTAAGAATTTTTAATGAATTAATTCGCTTTTAATATCTTTATTTTCATTTTTCAAGGGAATCTGTGAGTTACGCATCTCTGGTGTATGTACACCTCATACAGTCGCTCCGCTACTTGCAGACGAAAGCCCCTGCAGTGGACAACAAAGGAAGGAAGTGAAGTATTTTTTTCAGGGAAAGCTGTTGTTTTGAGTATTTATCTTTATTTAATTGTAATGAAGATAATATTGCCTCACAGAGGGAGGAAGGATTCTATTCATATTGTTTCCCTTGCACAGGTTTCTTCTGGTTCTGAATGCATGTTCAAGATGAGGCTTGTTTAGCAGAGTGTATGCTCATTGCTGTCTATTTCTTTAATTTCTTCTTTAGAATGTTATTCATTTTATATTTGTTTTAGGAGCGACTGGAAGCTGTATTTCAACGGGCGCCTTCCTTGGCTTCGCTCCTCTCCGCCTATTGCAGTGTGGCTTCCTTCATATATCAGTAGGCTTCTGCGTTATTTTGCATTCATATTTCTTTTTCATGCTTTTAGAAAGAACTTCTATACACAATGGCTGGGCAAAACCTAGCAGAACCTCCTTTGATTAGCTCTGGAGGAAGCCAAGACCTCCACAGCTCCTCAGCTCCCGAGGCAGCAGATATTCAAAGCCCCCCCTCTTATCTTCCCAATCCCTCTGCATGCGAAGCTGAGAAAAAGCACTGCTGCATGCAGCAAGCGGGGCCCTCCAGCAGCAGCAGCAGCAGCAGCAGCGGCAGCAGTAGTAGTAATAGTTGCGGCATCGTGAACAGCACAGCATGCACAGATAAACAACAGCAGCAGCAAACAATTAGAGGGGGAAGCTCTTTTTCTCGAACTTATCAGCCTATATATAAACCCTCTCCTCAGCCTTCAGTCTCTCCAGATACGGGGGAGGCCCCAGGAGATGCAGCAGCAGCAGATGCAGCAGCAGAAGAAGCAGCAGCAGCAGCAGATACAGCAGCAGATACAGCAGCATCGAACACTCCCCAATCTCCCTCTCCCACTGCAGCAGCATCAGCAGGATCAGCACCATCAGCACCATCAGCAGCAGCAGCAGCAGCAGCAGCAGCAGGAGTTAGAAAGAAGGATATAGCTGAAAGGTTTGCAGGTGGATTGGGTTGCAAGTGCAGCAACCCTAAGATTCATAAATGTTTAGAAAAAAGAAGAAAAGAGATAGAAGAGGAATATAAGTCTTATATACCGGGCCTATTAGCAGCAGAAGATCAAAGACGAGGGTCTCCTTGTTGTGAATTGAGCTCTGTTACACATACAATTGTTCATGTATGCTCTTGCATGTCTACAATAGATATCGATAAGGCTTTAGCTTTTGAAAACCTTCGATTAGAGAGAATAAGAGATGCATATGCTGTGGTGTTGACATTGGCTAGAGTGTATGGTGTAGAAGAGGTATTAAAAGATAAAGATTTATTAGTAATTATATATAAATATGATGAAATGAGGTGTATGTACAGCATAATGCATGCAAACGTGCATTACAAAAAAAAACAAAGCTATTTTAAGAGAATGACTTCGTCTCTTTTACAGGAATCAACAGCAGCATTAAAGCGAAGAGAGAGCAACTGCTGCAGCACAGTTTATTATCAAGAAGAAGAGGAAGAACAGCAGCAGCAGCAGCAGCAACACCACCACCACTTACATTCTTCTGCAGCAGATATTTCTAGAGCAAACTCAGCTGTATTTACCCCTCAGATTGATTCCGCATCTTCAGGTGTATCGGCATCTCTATCAGAAATTGAGGAGGAGCTACGTGCAGGCATGCGGCGTCAGTTTGGCTTCAGATCCTTAGGATCGTTATCGCAGACCCCTGCTGCTGCTCCTGCTGCTCCTGCTGCTGCTGCTGCTGCTGCTGGTGATGGTGCTGCTGCTGCTTCGTGGACTCTAGCAGCAGAAGAAGCAAACGGATTAAAAATATTTTATAGAAGACATCCAAACAGCACTCTTCTTAGTTTTCGTATTGAAGGCTCGGTAGAATCAAATCTACTTAATATTATCTCTGTTCTTAACGAGATGGATTTGTATAAAGAATGGATTCCTTACTACAACTTTCCTCTCAAGTATATTATTTAATTAATTAATTAATTGATTAATTAAATTAGTTAATTAAATAGATATATTAATTTGTTTATTTATTTATTTTATTTAATTAATTTATTTAATTGAATTTATTTATTTAATTCTTTCATTTATTTTAACTCCGTTCGCTGATTCTTTTTTTGTTTTATCGACATAAGCCATCGACTAATAAACAAGCAAACAAACAAATTAAATAATTAAATAAATAAATAAATAAATAAACAAATAAATAGAGTTATGTGCATGCGTTTGTTTAGGCTGGGCTTACGAGATGTGAAGACACTGCATCGGCTCGGTAGAGTTGAGCAAATTGATTTACTTCAACTGGATTTCCCCTGGCCTATGAACAACAGGTACTATTAGCATGCTCCTGCTGCTGCTGCTGCTGCACTTGCTGCTGCTGCTGCTGCTGCTGCTGGTCTTGCTGCTGTTGCTGTTGCTGCTGCGGCTGCTGTTGCTGTTGCTGCTGCTGCTGCTGGTGTTGCTGCTGGTCTTGCTGCTGCTGCTGCTGCTGCTTTTATTGTTGTAGCTGCTGGTGTTGATGCCGCTGATGCTGCTGTTCTTGCTGCTGCTGCTGTTGCTGTTGCTGCTTCTGTTGCTGTTG